TTTTTTTTTTTTTTACATGAATGTTAAAACGTGAGTGTTTAGGAAACAATTCTGTTACAACATTCCTAGTATAATCAACTAAATATACTGTGGATGTCCAAAATCCAAAATGTTTTTGAATTTACACATTAATTGTCAAGCAACAGTTAAACCTTAAATGTATGCACATAAAATGTGTTAAAACCATACCTAATCATACAGGACTTTTTCTTTAAATAACCTGAATCACAATGGAAGTGAAACAACTGCCTTATGTGATTTATTATTATTATTATTATATTTTTTGTACTATGACTCTTAGATCTAAAAAGGCCAAAAGTGAAGGAATTAATGTGAGTCTGTGTAATGGCTATTAACTGCACATTGTTAGAGCACTCATTTTTTTTCTACTGGTTTAAACAAAAAAGAATTAAGTGAATAAAATCATGAAGAATGCTATACATTCAGTCTGTCTTTTCATTAAATGTGTCTTATTTGAAAACAGATGACTAAAAAGTTCTAAACTGGTGATGTATTTAAGGACTGAAAGACTTGCATGGATATTGCTGGTCTTAGCTGAGTTTGTTCTTTGTAGATCATTGATCTCAGAATGTGAACCTTGCCTGTGTGCTCACAAACACTGGGCTTTTGATGTTAGAGAACAAATGTGAGTTCAACATTGTTCTTTTTTTTTAAAGAAATAGTTCATCTAAAAAAACTAAACATCTGTTACTATATACTTAACCCATATGCTTGTATTTTCTTCTTTTTTTTACCCAGCTATAGTCAATGTAGTCCAATTTGCTGCACATTTATTTGACTTTTTTGTACTTCTGACATTTATAGACCCATTTTTTTACTTAACTTTTTTTTTAGGCATGTACGATGTATAAATTATCAGCCAGTTTTAGACTTTTTTTTAATTATTGGTTTCAGTCAACATTTTATTAGTAATTGTGATGCAAATTTTCTATATTTTTGCATTTAGATTACGCTTGCCATCATCTAATGCAATAGATAAACACTTGTATTCAAAACACTAATATTCAAAAACACAAAACTCTAAATGAATATCCATTTTTTAAATTCTGAACATTGTAATGTTGTGATGCCAAAACTTAACTTGTTGCGTTGAAAATTATTTAATATTTTATAGTTTATTTTGTTAATTCTTTTAGATAATTATACAGATTGGCCATTTATTGGTTATTGGTTATAACATGTAAATAGTTAATTTGTCTCTTTCTTTGGTCATTTGGGGTCACTATGAACTGTACTCCTATGAAAAATACCTACGTGAAGATTTTTCAGCAATTATCTCTTTGTGTCCGAAAGTAGATTTTTCATTTTCGTATGAACTATTACTTAACTGTCTAGTTTTACAGTTTAAGTTCTTTAGGCATGGGTTCTCCCCTGAGTCCAGCCAGCAGGTTGTTGGCAGCAAGAGCAGACATGGCGTTCCGTGTCGTATATGAAGCACTGGCAATGTGGGGAAGAATCACTGCAAAAACAAACATAAACACAGAATTTCAGACCTGTCAAATACTTTAATGAAATACATGCAGACGTGCATGCTTACCGCAGTTTTTGAGTGTGAAAAGAGGATGGTGTGTGGGCAGTGGTTCAGGTGTGGTGACATCCAGCCCGGCTCCAGCGATCAGACCGGTAGACAGGGCTTCATACAGATCCTCCTGATTAACCACTCCACCTCTTTACAATAACAACACAATCAGAGTCATGCACGGAAGTGGGAATAGAGCCACTAGTATACACCAGCACAGTGGTTATGTTCATCTGAAGTTAATGCTAGAAACAGTCTATGAACATTAATAAGTGACAGTGACATATGTCTTAATATATACTGAAAGAAAATGTTTTAATTTTCTGCCACATGATCTGTTAGGTTTACAGAATTTCCTTTAACCCTAAAGCACAATACAATGCAAAAATAAAAAAATTCTATACAGAAAATTCCTTCATAACAGTACATTGTTCCCTATTTTAAGGTGTATTAGACGTGCACATATGAGTTACACTTCAAGTGTCAAATGCTCAATTTCAAGCGGTATTTGCTGCAAAACAAAAGCAGAACAGCTCTGCTTATAGTGTGATGCTCAGTTTCATAAACCTCAGCTTAGCAAATATAGTTTTTCGCCTATCAAATGTATATTTTTTCTTTTGCAAAAATAAAGTCGAATAATTCTTGTAATTGCAAGATCACAAACACCTGACATTTGAGCCAGAGTAACAAAAATGTCCCTAAAACCAAGCACTGGAATATATTATTTTTTATTTCATAACACTTTACTTCAAGTCGTTAACATTAGTTATCATGAACTAACAATAAACAAAATCTTCATTTAGGTTACTGTTAATGTGTCAATATACCATTGTTCACTGGTAATCCGTATTTGTTCATATTAATGTTAATTCATACTACTTGAAATGTATTAAAGATGTAGTAAAAAGCATTGTTATTATTTAAAATATTTTTTTATAAAAATAAAATTTAAAACAATATTACATGAAAAACTTTGACTAGACTAAAACATTTTGAACTAAAATGAGTTTAAAATGTATTTGAATAAGTAAAAATGAATTCAAGCAAAATAGAAATATTAATAAAAAGCAGAAAAAACATTAAAATTAAGATGAAAACTGAAAATACAAAAATAAAGCTAATTCATAATAATAATAATATATACTATAATAATATATATATATATTTT